TTGGTTCAAAACATGGCAGCTAGGCTTATTTCTGGAACATCTAGGAGGTAACACATCACTCCAATTTTGAGGTCCCTCCACTGGCTGCCTATTAGCTTCCGGGCCCAGTACAAGGTGTTGGTTATTACCTTTAAAGCCCTAAATGGCTTGGGTCCAAGCTATCTCAGGGATCGCCTCCTTCCATACAATCCTCCCTGCGCTCTCCGGTTCTCTGGGAGGAATTTGCTGCAGCCTCAAAAATCTAGGCTTGCGGTGACCTCCCAGAGGGCTTTTTCTGTTGTCGCCCCCAAACTCTGGAATGGCCTGCCGGACGAGATCCGTCAGTTGACATCACTGGACAGCTCTAAAAAAGCTGTCAAGACAGATCTCTTTCAGCAGGCCTTCCCAGACTGATCACCCCGGCCTTGGGCTCCTTGACTCCTGCGTTCCTCTCGTGGCCCCATCAGTTGTTGATGGATGAAGAACGCAGTAGAGGTTGATTAGGGGGTGGGTTGGTTTTTCTTTGGATATATGTTATACAGGTTTTATTGTAAGCCGCTTGGATTGTCTGGCAATAAGTGGGATACAAATAAACATTATTATTATTATTATTAGTATTATTATTGTTGTTGTTGTTGTTGTTGTTGTTGTTGTTATTATTTCATGTGGCATCAAACCATGCTTTGGTATTTCATGTGAACCAGCCTTGAATAAATGGATCTCCAACATGAGTTCCACTACCCCATCACATATTCATCCAACATGTTAAGGGGTTCACAGGACAACCCCTGAGCTAGTCATACACACACACACTTGTATAAATTAGCTGGGGAGATTCCCACTCATACCCTCAAAAATTTCACAAATGAAACTTGGGACTTATGTCAAGCATACCATGCAACAGCAGTGTGTGGTCAAGATGGCAAAAGCTATCAGTGCAGAAGAATTAACAAACTAGGAGATACAGCAGTTTGCTTCTACCTGATTCTACAAGGAAGGGTAAAGATTCTGTTATCACAAGGTCTAGCCTCTCTCCACACCCCCTCTTTTTGGTATCAATTCGATATTAAGGGGATGTTTTAGGCACGTAACCAAGAGGACACCCCTAGTGCAGGAAATTAGCCAAAACAAGGAGATCCGACTGGTTCAGCATGGGGGAAAGCTAAAAGCACATAGCAAGGATGGATCAATTAAGATCAGAATTTACATAATCTCTTCACTAATAGGAGTGAAGTTGGGCGATAGACCTGAGACTTGCACATGAACAGAAATCTAAGTACACTTCCCTCTGGAGAAAATACTCTTTTGTCCAGAGACATTTGCACTGATTGTTTGGTCATTTACAAGTTCCCTTCTCATTCTTCTCTCCTGGAAATTTCATTTTAATCCCAGGTTACATTTTGTCCTATAAATATGCCTGCCTAGGCACTACCAATTTGATCTTGTTGAGGTCAGACAGATACACTGTCAGTATCTCGCCTGACTCCTCAACAACTGCTGAGCCACTTCATCTCACAGAACCCACAATGGAAACTTTGCTCTGGAATCGGTACACTATCACCTTCTGCAATTTTGAAAGTCACTATCTGCTACCGCTTTTTATATAGTTCTTGTATTTAAGTGTGAATGAGTGTCTTTCTGTGATTAGTGATTCACTTTGATCTACAAATAAAACTACATTTGGACCTTGCACTCTGGAGTTCTGTTTCTTGGAACCGATATACACAGGTTTGATCCCTGCTTTTAGTTGCCCAAAACCCTCTCAGCAGCTTTACTTGAGCTATTAAAATTATCCTATTGTTTGTGAATGCCCTCTGGGACTCTGGTATTTTGAATAACAGTCCCACTCTCTCCACTCCACTCCACTTGCTGAGGACTTTGGGACTTTGAACTCAGGGCCTAAGCAGACGGCTTATTAAGCCGTCCTCGGCACAGGGAAGGAGGGGGCAGCCGCACGCTCGGCGCCCCATCCCCCTCCCGAGGTCGTCCTCGGAGCCGCCGGCCCTCCGCACGGCCAGCGCTCCAAGGAGGACCTCCCGCCACAGCGTCCAGACACGCTGCGGCGGAAGGGTCGCCGAAAGTGCGGCGCAACCTTTTGCGGCACACTTTCGGCAACATATGAATGGAGCGCTATTTTAGTGCTCGTTTCCAGGGGCGCCGACTGTGCGCCGCTGGATCAAGGCATGGGGATGCCTCGGTCCCGCAGCGCACCTTCCCAGGGCGGCCCAGAGCCGCCCGTCTGCTTAGGGGGTCAGTTTGCAGCAGTTGAAATAAGCTAAGGGCAAATGGGGAAAGTGGGAAGAAGACAGAGAAACTGGGACATTTTTTAAAATAGCTGGAAAAGTGCAACAACAGAGGATTAACCTGGACAGCTCCTGCCAAATCGAGGCAGTTGGAGGGTATGCCAGCCTATTAAAGGGAAAGCGAGGATATGGCAAGGATCTCTATGAGACCTCTGGGAAATCCACTTCATCAGTATTAAAGAGGAAGCCTGAGAATGGATTTGTCATTGATCAGCCAGCACCACTTTCTCTGTTTCTTCCCAGACCTTCCCAATGCAAAAATGACCTAGATTTGCAGGCCTCTCAAATGGACTGCCCATCCTTTTGCCATGAGCCAGGGTCAGAATTGACACAGTGTGTGTAGATCTGTTGGCACAAGTAGCTTTGTGTAGGCTAGCACATTGTTTCAAGCCTCCATCTGCCTGGCAGGTGCTGAGTGTCTCTGATGCAGCCAGGTGGACATTTTTTAATGTAGCCCAAGGTCTCCCGTATTGCAATGTGAAGACTCACTGATACCAATAAAGCAATCATTTTACTGTCTCTGTGGATTTCAGTCTCTTTGCCACCACAACCCTAAAGCCACAACCTGCAGTTCAGACACATCAGAGTCTGCTAATGGGAAATTTCAAACAAGGATGAGTACTACCATCTCTTTTTTTTATGTTACCAGCTCCAATAGGTTTTCTTTTTCCCCCAGCCCCTGAACATATGAACCAAGTAGGTTTCTTGCCACAAATTTAACAGATAAAGTCAGTTGATTTAGATCACAAATAACAATTTTTATCTCATTTTTTCTGGGGAGTGGGGTGAGAGGAAAATAATTATTTATCAGACAATCAGAGGAGTTTTTTGTTTTTTTAAACTCAACACATTTCCATTGCAGGTTGAATAACTGGAGGGGAAAGGTTTGCAGCAATAAGAGCAACAAAAAGAAAGAAGCTGACCTTGCAACTTTGCTCAGGCCAGATAGCTATCAGTCAGAAGCAAAGGCTTTTAATGCAATATTCTGTTCCCAATGCCCTTCAGCAGTACTGCTTCTTCAAGGGCTGAATCACTTCAGGAAGCTGAGGAACCATTAGGATGTCATAATGTTAGTTACTGAGCATTGTACCTGAAGAGTTTGAGGTGGCACATGTAGAAGTTGTCCCTTTATCTTCACAACAACCCTATGAGGTAGCTGGCTAGGTTGAGAGAAAGTGATCTGCCATGGACCGTCCAAGGAGCTTCATGGTTGAACAGAATTTTGCTGTGCCCTTTACATTCCTTAAAACTTCCTGGGGAATTTGTCTTGACATGAGTGGCAAAGACAATCTTATATTGGCCATATTTTACATGTGAACACTGGCAGCCCATGCATTCCTCTTTTCCTGCACCCTCTCAGTCTGAACAGGCATATTGGCTTCTTAATACTATGTCTCAACATGAGAAGAACCCTTTCCGGATCTGATGAAATTGACAACTTCTGCAAAAGCCCATGCACCATAGGTTTCTGGTTGGATTGGGTTTTCTTGCAACAGATTAACATGATTAACAGATTAATAGATTAAGATGGCTGTTCCTTTAGAAATTGACACTATTTCCATATGTGTTGGTTTATATACAAGGGTGATCAGCTAAGATGCATATAGAGAAAATACATACTCAGTTCTTGTTCACATGCAGAGAGAAAGGTGTAATATGTGGGAACATGTGGTCTTCCAGAAGTTTTTGGATCACAACTCTCATCATCCCCCTCCACTGGCTATGGTGCCAAGGCTGCTGGGAACTCCAGTCAAAAAAGTTCTTCAGCCCTGGATGCAAGAGCCTCTTTGCCTGTGTCCCAGTCAGAAAGATGATCTGTCTTTCAGATCAAGGTTTTGCTAGGAGATCAGCCTTTCATCACAATTGGATGTGATCCCTCAGCCTCCAATTACTTTGTTGTTATGTGCCTTCCAGTTGACTCTGACGTGTGGCAACCCTCTCCTAAGGTTTTCTTGGCAAGATTTATTCAGGGGAGGCTTACCATTGCCTTTCTTTAAGGCTGAAAAAGAATGACTGCCCAAGATCACCCAGTGGGTTTCCATTGCTGAGCGAGCATTTGAGCAACTGAGCCAGCATGGTGTAGTGGTGAGCCTTGGATTTTGACTCTGGAGCCCAGGGTTCAATTTCCTGTTCAGCCATGGAAACCTACTAGGTAACCTTGGGCAAGTCACACATTCTCAGCCTCACAAAACCCTATGTTAGATTTGCCTTAGGGTCACCATATGTCAGGAGTGACTTGAAGGCACATAACACCTCCAGGAGTCCTAGTACAACACTCACACCACTAAACCACACTGGCTCCTCCATTAACTACACAGTGTGCAAAGTGATCTTGTAGCATCTTTGAGACTAACTGAAAGAAAGAAGCTGGTAGCATGAGCTTCAGTCTCCTTCCTCAGATGCATGGGGAGCATGGAGTTTATATAGCCAACCTGCCATATCCATCGATTCCTTATCCACAGATTCAACCATCCAACCACTGAACCATCTACAGCTCAAAAATATTTAGTATATATATATATATATATATATATATATATATATATATACACACTATCTGCCATATCCATAGATTCTTTATCCACAGATGCAAGCATCCATGGCTTCAAAAATATTTTAAAAATACATAAATTCCAAAAAGCAATCCTTGATTTTGCCACTTTATATAGGGACACCATTTTACTACACCATTTTATTTAATGGAACTTGAGCATCCACAAATTTTGGTATCCATGGAGGGTTCTGGAACCAAACCCCAACGGAGACCAAGGGCCCACTGTATATATTTAATTTTTTTAAAAATGTTTTTTCTATTTTGTATAAGGAACACTATTTCACTACATCATTGTAGCAAATGGGACTTGAGCATCTGCGAATATTGGTATCCACAGGGACTCTTGGATTTTGGTATCCATAAGGAGTCTTGGATTTATGGTATCCATAAATCTACTGAGCAGATTTAGCACCCAATCAAAAACCAGACCCATGAAAGAAACAGCTAAAATGTGACCCGGCATTGTAACAAATAAGATGAAAATAATTTCTCTACCACCACTCTTGCAAACTAGCATATCCATGGGCTACCTAAGAAAATTTAGTGTAATGTTTCAATTCTGTCAAACCAATGTAACAATCAAAGCCAAATGTCAAAAGGAGAGAGTCTGAATGTCTCTTACAAAATTCTTTGCTGAATAAGTCTGTTTTTCTTGATTACCAGACTCCTCTTTTCCAAACCAATATAAAAAGGATCACTCAGGGAAAAAATTAAATAAATAAACAAACTCCAAATCCTCTGGTCTGCTTTCTCTGGAGACAATGCTTCATTTCAGTTCACTCTGTTACTTGGACACCGAGAAAATATTACTCCTTATCAGTTTTCTCCACAACTAATTGTGTTTCAGTGATAGGGCAAACTTCAGCTTACAAAGCTTTTATGTCTTGGCAAGTTACTTCCTTGGTTATTGGAGGAAGATGATATACCCACCATGTTCACAATGCAGCGGGAAAAGAGCAAAATGATACACTAAAGACAAGGATGAACTGGGTCTGACAGTAAAGATCTGCACACAGGAATCCACCAGCTATAAAACCTGAAAGAAGTAATTTTTGGATATATATCCAGGACAGACAGTGGAAAAGTTATAAATGCAAAATATGTGATTCTTCCCAGTGGAATACATGGAGCCTTAAAGACAACTGCCTGCTCAACATGAAGAGTATTTACAGAACTGGTTTAGATATTAATGTCTAGGGCTGCATCCGCATAAAGTGGTGTCAAACTCAAATTTGACACCACTTTAACTGCCATGGCTCAGTGCTATCGAATTCTGAGAACTGTAGTTTTGTGAGACATTTAGCCTTCCCTTCCAGAGAGCTCTGGTACCAAAACAAATTGCAGTTCCCAGAATTCCATAGTACTGAGCCATGACAGTTAAAGGCTGAATCTGCATTGCAGAAATAATGCAGTGACTTTGCTTTAACTGCCATGGCTCCATCCTATGGAATCCTGGGATTTAATAATAATAATAATAATACATTTTATTTTTATACCGCCCATTG